AGGATTAGAACCAGGTATGACTAAAGTGGTTAATCAACTGTCAAGGACAATCTGAGGTCCGCTAAGGATTGGTCACTTGTGAGCAGTTGGAAGTAAAGTATTGAATGGAACATATTGGCATTATTATGAATAGATAGGACTCTATTAAGAATGAGTTACATATGACAAATATGGAAATGTTTCCATAATGGGAGTTGGATATTAAGAATCTATGTAGATTAGAAACTTTTATGCAAAAAGGATGTTCAAAGGAATGTACTTTGAATGTGAGACTTCATGTCTATGGAGTTGTCTTGTAATAATCTCCAATAGATCACTTTGTAATTTCATTGGCAAAGTCTTGGTAACTTTGGTGCTGTGACATTACAAAAGGATCATTGCATAAAATGTAAGAATCTAACATATTCTGATAGTGGCAAGAATTTGGTATTCTTACACTTATAATAAGGATTAGGAGTTGTGAAATGAGCATCATTGGTAATGTGTTCAATTGATCTATTTCACAAAGTAAGGACCATAGGTAAACATAGTGTGCATGCTTGGAGCATGGGACAACTAGTGTTTTTAATTCAAGTAGTAAGTTGATTACTCGAAACATTATACAATGAATAATGTGTAATCAATATGGTGATTAAATAAAAGGTGTTTTATTTATATTCAAAGTGTTGAGACCATATTGGATTCGATTATTCTTGTGTTTCACTTTGCATGTTTTGACTTCCAGAATAACTAGGTTATTCAAACATCCACAGTCGATCATACGTCGGAAGTAAGTATTGAGGCAAGACTGTCATGAATCTGTCTGTAGATTGTCTAAAGTGTTTAGACATAGCACAAGTCTGCTGCAGAGTTCATGAGTACTTCTGTAATAAGATTATAATATTGGATTAAACCCACGCTCACTTGAATCACTTCATGGATTTTATCACGAGTGATTAGTGAGACGATAATATCTTATATTCTTGAAACCAAGAGATATGAGTTGCAGTCTACAAGTCGGTTGCGCATTGATAATGAGTAAACGCACCAGTAACTTGGTGTTATAAAACGTATTGTTGTGTGTGATTTGATGAGTAGATAGAGCAAGCATATGATTCGAAGTTTATCCATTCCTTTTACCCAAAGTTGGATAAAAGCGATATCTACGGGCCCCTCGATGATTTATTGATGACACCCAAAGTGCTTGGCCAAGCCTGGACTGATTTGATCTGTTCAATTAGTCAGTCGTCATAAATAGGAAATCGGGAACAACACATGAACAAAGAGAATGATTAAAATCCATGTCTCAGTTCATACGATATCTTGTAGAATGGAGGAATATATGATCCCTTATCTAAAGGACGCGTTGCTGATAAAATCAGAGTTCGACAGCGGCTTTTGAAAGCTATGATTGCTAATCAGGTTCTGAAGTCGTAGTTGTAAAATAGTTATTAGACTTATCCAAGTGGGAGACTATTGGATTAGGTGTCTAAGCCCATAACTATTTTGGTATGTACTTGACCCGATTATGAGCATGGTCCTTTTGGGTTGCCTTCACTCATGCAACTTGATAGGATGACGAGAGGAGAGAGAGTAGAATTTATTATATGAATAATAAATTCATACTCAAATTGGTTTTATTAATATATTAGAAGATTAATATATTATTTGGAAAATCATATTATTTAATTAGTATTGATCAGGAATTAATTTAGTGGTCAAAAGAGACTGATTAAATAATTGAGAGACTGTTATGCAAATCATTGATAGTTGCATAAATGGGCTGATGGACTCCATAGAGTGGAGTGGACGAATTTCTATAAGGAAGCCTTATAGAATTCGTCCATGGGCTCTAAGGAAAAGAGTTTGTGGGCTGCTTGTTGCCTAAGTCAGGTATTAGGGTTTCCACCTGAAAACCCTAGCAGCCCTCAACTATATAAACCCCTCTAGTCTAAGGAATTCGGCCCTATGCTTCTTGGAGTTGCCCTAGCCGATTTCCTCCCCTCTCCTAAGTCATCTTGTTGCAAGAGTGTTTGTGATTCCATTAGAGGTGTAACACTTGGGGCACTAGGCTTTCAAAAGTCAAGATCAAGAAGGATTAATCTTGTTATTACTACATAACAAGAAAGGTAAGATCTAAACCCTAATCATATGTAATTTTCGGATTTGGTATGCTAGTTTTAGGGTTTATTGCTTTGGTATTCATAGTTGTATGTTCAAATTAGAAAAACCTAGATCAAAGCAATTAGAGTTGCATGTACACCATAGGAATGATGTTATGCTTATAACGCAACACTTTGGTCAAAGTCAAAGTCAAAGTCAACGCTCCGAGTTGACTCAACTCGTCGAGTTGCCCTTCAACTCGCCGAGTTTCCATGAATCACAGAATCAGGATATCGCGATCCAACTCGTCGAGTTCTTCCTTATTAACATAATCGAGACATTTCAAATCAACTCGTCGAGTTCCTTCATGAACTCGTCGAGTTCCTTAGTCTGTTAACCCCTTCTTAACTCATTAAGCCATTATTCTTCAGATCTAAACCCTATACTTCAGATCTCGACTGGAAATGCCTCTAGAAGGGTAAAGTTTCCAACTTTACCCACTAATATCCTTCCTAAAGAGATTAAGCTCAAACCCTAACCCAAAAAGGCCAAAGTCTTAATCCAAAAGCCACCAAAACTACAAGATAAACCATGAGGTCATAGATCTGGACTCTAGGGACTAAAAGATCACGTAAAGTCCCAGCTTTTTCTATGTGCATGGCCCTTAGAAGATCTAAAAGGCCAAAATGATGGTCTAACGGTTTCATGGGACTTACATGGCCATAAAGTTGGCACCTTTATGCCTTGAAAACCCCTCAAGACCCTAGATCTGAAGTATTCTCTAGTTGGAAGGTCCAAATCCCAAGAATCATGTCATTTGGACCAAAAGCAAGCAAAGAACTCTAAAATGGGGATCTAAACGACCACAAGACAAGGTTCAAGCTTTATACCAGCAAAATGTCATGGATGAGGCAAGGATTCTGGATCTATAAGCTCCTTCTTGTGTCTTCAAGCTTTTTCCTTCTTCCAATGGCTTGAACACATACCAAAAACACCCCAAAATGGCTCACAATCACTCAAAGTAGCTTTAGGGTTTCGAGATTTAGGGTTTGGGACTTGGAGGATGGAAATGAGGCCAACATTAAAGGTTAAAGGTGTTTAAATAGGGTGCAAACCCCATAACTTAGGGTTTCATATATGCCAGCCTACTCGTCGAGTTGAGGCCTCCCAACTCGTCGAGTAGGTTTCTCAAACTGGCGTCCAAATAATCTCTACTCGACGAGTCTGGGGCTTCCAACTCGTCGAGTTGCTCTGAAATCATGAATAAATTATAAGTTTAAATGCATACCAGGAACCAGACGTTACAGGAATTGTCCATACGTAAAATCATAATTATTGATACGGGCGAGACAAATCTTTGATGTTAGGTAAGAGAATAGCAAGTTAAAAACTCTGTAAGACATGGATATATATTATTATGAATTTTGTAAATGAAATGGTGAATGTTGTGATCATTTTTGTAATGACAAATCCTGTATGTGTTCCCAAGAAAAGGAATTTGTATATTTTTAGAGTTCTTGATTGATCTATGAGAATGGAACATATTGCGCTAATATCAATCATTTTCTTCCATTTATTTGTTATTCCAAGGCAAGGATTAAAGACACCCAAAATCCAAATCAATGAACTATCCATACGTTTTTGGAAAACACTCTTCGTTTTTTATTTAGGTCCAACTCTTCTTTTAAAAATTAAGAGGTTGTTGAACAATTAAGAGACAAAAATTAAAATGTTATCAAACGTTCTGAATCTGAAAAACTACGAGTCTTTCTTTTAATTGAAAAATTAAAATGGCTATTTTGGTGCGTTTGGAATGCGAGAAACGATATGATCTTTAACAAGATCCATACTTCCCCTTCGAAGTTGGCGGACAACGTGCACACTACTGTATTTAGTTGGATTAAGCATAGGGGGCTTATGGGAATTGTAATTGGGTGGTTTGGGTTTGTTCTTCCTTCAATATTTTGTAATCGTTTCGTTTGTTTTATTTTTTAATATATTCTTCCGTTTCCAAAAAAATTAAAAAATTAAAAGATTACCAAAGAATCCGTAACTCAGTAATATCATACTAAAAAATATGTGTGAACTTAAAAATACAAGACAAATATAAAAGGCTTTATGACCAAGAAAATCCGATTGACATTTCATTTGCTATTTCTACGAACAAAACAATTAAATAATATGAACCAACTTTATAAAAAAAATATCTACGGTAACTTTTGGATCCAAACGCATTTGTATTACCATAACTCCAAAACACATACCCATATGGTAGTCATCGCAACCACATCCACCTCTGATCTTTTTCATACCAAGACATTTGTATTTACACCGTTTTTTTTTTGGAAGATTTCTTTAACAATTCACTTTCACCTCTACTTGATGTGAAAATGGTTGTTCAAGATCCTCACAACAAAAACTTTAGAAATAAATTTATGACAAAGACATTATAATTTTCACAATAATTTGAAGAATTCACAACATATGAAGAACATTTTCACAGTATATAAAAAGAAATGTTGCGGCATATAAAAAAATTTATGTGTTCAAAGTTTTTAAAGCATTAAATAAAAAATAGCTATTTTGTGAAATTTCTTATATGAAAGTAGCTAATTTTGTCATTTTCTTTTTCTTGCAAGTCTAATACAAAAACCTTATTTCACTTTCTTTATAAAATCGTTCTTTATCCATCAAGTATAAATACATCCATACACAAGTTACCATATTATGAAAATAATAAATAAATAAATAAAAGTTGATCTCATTAAACACAACATTCTACGGAAACCGATCATAACAATGTAAATGTCGAGATTCCTCAAGGGCATAAAAGTAAAACCAACACATTAACAGCAACGTGTCCAAACAATATACTAAAAAAAGACGCAAAAACCAACGTTTTATAAATAATAACTTTTGGTTTTTGACATTTTTGGTCCTAGAGTGTTAACAAGATACATTTCATGTCATAGTGTAACAACATTAAATTAGACAAGAAAAATCCAAGCAAAATTTCCAAAAATATTTCATGATCTAATAATAAGTAAAAGCAAATCACCTCTCGCCCTTGATGAAATGAGTAGCTAAAAGTTTAGAAACCCCAAATCCAATGAAAGTGTCAACATCAAAAAGCTCTTTCAAATTCTCATCACATAAGATTCTTCTCTTGTCCGATGGATCCTTCAACAACATCAACAACAAGATTGAGAGGGCATTATTGAAAAAAAAAAAAAAAAAAGGATTATACTTGTTAATTATTTACTATACCCATTAACCACTTAAAATTATTTTCTATAATGATCAATTCGTTACACATTTTTCACCATTTAAACAAACCAATTTTCAACGGAAAATAGGAAAACACATAAAAGCATAAAATAAAGTACAGACTGTTTGATAGTTGTTGGTTAAGTCAGATCTGATTGAATCAACAATACCTGACTGAGTCGGTCCCAACCTCTTACAGTCCTAGTCTCTTATAGACCCAGTAAGAGGCTGAGAGACATATCATATCCTAGTCTCTTATAGACCCAGTAAGAGGCTGAGAGGCATATCATATCCTAGTCTCTTATAGACCCAGTAAGAGGCTGAGAGGCATATCATAGGCTTCTAATTATGGTATCAAACAGTCTGAATTTGACCGAGTCAGACCGAAATATGACGAGTCAGACTCAGCCTCTTACCATTTACCAGACCCAATAAGAGGCATATCAAACAATTTCACCATTTTTTTTATTTAGCCATTGAACTTAAAAAAAAATGGTAAGATTATTATAATAATAGCTTAATGGCTAATGTACGTTATGCTTTTCTATATTTTTCAGCCTTAAATCATGTAAAATAATAGAGTTTATAATAAAATATTAATACCTGAAGGTTATTTTTTTTAATGTAGTCCCAAATTCTTTTAACAACATCGGAACGTGACAATGCGTTTTCTCCTGTTCCAAGAAATTTGACTAAAGCTTCTGAAAGTGGAATTGGAGCAAGAATACCAGAATTACCCCCACCCCCACCCCCACTACCCTTTTGCTTCTTCTCCTTTCTTTTTGGCTCCTCTGTATCTGTTAATTAAACAACAACTTAAATACGTAACTAGAAAAAGAAAAATCAAAATATATGTTATATAAAAAATGTGTACAATGTTCCCACCTTCTTCTCTTTCTTTCTTTTTTGGTTTTTCCTTCGGTGTTGAACTGACTGAAGCTGCAAGTAAAAAAAAAAAATCGTCATATTTTCCAATTATGAATTAGTAAAAGTGTAAAACCCCCCAAAAATAATTCATAAAACTATCTAAAAAATCAAAGTCAAATAATACATATAAAGAGAAAAAGAAATGAAGAAAATAATACCACCATCAGAATTTAAAGGCCATATATGCTTTGCAAGAGCTTTATTCATTTGAAACATGTCAATTGTATCCACTTCAAAAAGCTCACGTAATGCTTCATCACATCGTATGTTTTTTCTATTTGCAGGATCTTGCAAATCATGTTCTCTAATGTAACCCCACATTTGTTTTACAACCTACAATCAACAAACATCCATTTAATTTCATTCATTTGTTTATCATCTTTCCAATAATAAGAAAAGAAATTGAAAGTATATTATTACCTCTGTTCGAGCTAATTCAGGAACTCCTATAAATTTTTGAAGTTGTGGAGAAAGAGTACATAACTTTGTAAATCCACCTCCTTTTTTCTTAACCTCTGTGTTCTCCTTTTTTGACCTGAATTAACACAGAGTTTAAGCCCTTTAACAAAATTCACTCCAATTTGTGGTTATCAAGAAAATCTTGAGAGGTTTTCCCCATCAAGTTCTTAACTTTTTTACAAATTTGGTCTGTAACACATTGAATTCATATGCTAATTGATTAAGGGTATACAAATTAGCAACGATAAAGAAAGATATTCAGTTGGGTGTCTACCAAATTATGAAGAACGATAGAAAATTTGTAAACGTTACTCCAATCCACAATCATATAATTTTGGGGAAAATAGCCCAATACCTATTATCCCCTTTCTTCGAAATTAACTTCTAATCCAATTACATCGAAAGCGAATCGACCTGATAAAACAACAGCTAGTACACTGTAATAAAAGAAACGAATTTTCCACTAATTTCTCCTGTGTCTCCATGAATCAACTAAATTAAAAGAGCTGCATTGTGAATTGTGATTTCTTGGTGTTAAGCCTAGTTCGAATTTCTTTCATGATGAGGATTTTATATGTAGTATTAGTTTGGAAGCGTAGGGTAACAAATTCGAAATTGATTATAGTAGAATTGGATACAAAGATTAAGAACTAACCCTTTTTTTCTGCTACCGCCATTCTTGCCAGTGCTGGGTTCTTCATCTTCTGTTTCTTCAACTTCGACTTGTTCTTCCTCGTCGTTACCTTCTTTATCTTCTTCGTTCTGTTCTTGACTTTCGAGATAAAGATCAACTTGTTCTCGAATAAACGCCTTTTTATCCCTTAAATCGATTCCAAAATCTTGCTCTAGCTGCCGGCGTACGCTAGCTGTTGTGGTGGTGTTGAGATCAGACGTGCTTAGGAACTCCCGTAGCCGGTTGACGAGCTCCGAGTCCGATACCATTCTTCGCCGGCGGCGCAAATTGAAACTCCGTTGGCGGTGGTGTGATTGTAACGTGGCCTGAAAATGAAAGGGATTTTCCGAGGGGAGAGAATTAGGTACAAGTGGTTGTAGACTACGTAAAAACAATATTTTCAGTCTAACCCCTTTACTTTCGTTAATATTAGTTTTATCATCAAAGTATCACTTCATCTTCACGGCTAGTCACTTAAGTACTCAAGTGAGATTAAGTTGACAAAATAATTTAAGGATATTTATAAAAAATAGTTTTGATTTTTTTATCACCGAAGTCTTAATTATGTATCGATTTAGCCACTTAAGTTCTGATGATGTTCAATCGGCCCTTGAAGTCTGAATATTTTGTTGTTTAGCCCCTTACAACCTTCAACCCTCGGTTACCCTCGCCCCTTGCTGTCATGGATCCTATGTGGCCTTAGTGGGGGTACATGTAAATGGATTTTAAATGGTCACGAAAAAAAGAGGATGGTGTAACGGCGTCATTTTGAACATTGGAAACCGACGACCCATGTCTAATCACCCTTACGACCATTATAGATACGCCACCACATTTTCAGAAAATTCCCTCTTCTTTGAAGACATTCCAGACACTAAAACCCTAAAAGTTAAGCATTTTGTGAGTGATAAACATTAAATAAAATGGAAATCATGACTTTATCGTTGAGATTTTCTACCATGGTATATTTGTACCCAATCCTTTGAGGTACGAAGATGGAACGAGTGAAAAAGTACCAAAATTCGACTATGATTCAATCACCTTCGAGTCTTCCAAGCAAGGACTAACGTATGTGATTATGTCTACTATCTTCTCCGTTATAAAACATTAACACAAGGGTTAAAAAAGCTTCAAGATGACGCACACTACATCATATTCCTTAACTTTAGTTGTACAACCGGTGGTCCTTTACAAGTTTACATTGATCAGTTTAATGAACACTTGCTTGACTGGATAAGAGATCAAGTGATACCAAAAGCAGAAGAATCCTAATCTCATCTGATGAAGAGTCCGAGGAAGACAAATCCCTATCATGTAAAAGACATTCCCTTCTTTCACACCCTTGAAGATGAGGTCAAACCCACTTTAACCAACACTCTAAATGATAAATTATTAAGTAAACTGGTTATTAGTAATGAACTAAAGGAGGAAATTGATAAATCCCAAAATGTGAGTCCCCTTCAAAGCTAATGAGATGTAACACCCGGTTCCCGGTACGTATTTTAAATTTAAATAATTGCATATGTTACACTGGGACTCGGCGAGTTGGAGGCTCAACTCGTTGAGTAGGCTAGACTTTGGATGCGGGTTTTAAGTAACCTACTCGACGAGTCGGGAGCCCGACTCAGCGAGTAGATCTGTCTGGGTGAAACCCTAATATTTAGGGTTTGCACTCTATTTAAACGTCTTATCTTGTCCCAACCCAGCCTCCATCGCCCCTCTCAGTCCAGAAAAGCCCTAACTCGAAACCCAAAAGCACTTGGATTGTTCTTTAGCCATTTTTGGTGTGTTTTTGGTTGTTTTAAGCTTGAAGGAGGAAGTAGAAGCTTGGGGGTTCCAGAAGAAACAAGTAGATCCATAGGTTTTAGCAAGAGGTTCCCTGAGTCTTCGGGCATGCTGGATTGCCCTCTAGAGATCAAGATTGCTGATGATCGCTCAGTTCGTGTATCAGAGGTTTTCAGAGATTGTGTTCTGAGACTAGATGAAGAGCGCTACCTGGTAGATTTGGTTCCTATTCCGTTACGTGGGAACAAGGTTATTATAGGCATGGACTGGTTGAGCCCCAATGGGGCAGTGATCGACTGCGCGTAGCGGTTGGTACGGGTCAGGACCCCAAGTGGGGGAGAGCTGGTGATTCAGGGCGAGAGGCTATAGTGTGAACCAGCTTTATGCTCAGCAATGAGGGCTAGGCGCTACCTTCAGCAGGGTTACACAAGGTATGTCGCCTATGTTATGGATGTTGGATTAGTGTCTAAGTCCATAACTATAATTGGTATGTACTTGACCCGAGAGCAGCATGGTCCATTTGGGTTGCATATCATCAGAGAAATTTGATAGGATGGAGTTTTGAGAAGAGGTTATTTATGCTTTATAAATATATTATAAGTTCTAATATATTAATATGAAATCATATTATTTAATTAGTATTGATCAAGAATTAATTTGGAATTAATTTAGTGATCAAAAGAGACTAATTAAATATATGAGGATTGATTGTGTAAATCATTCATTCTTATAAAGTGGGCTTATGATCCATAGTTCTTTATGTTGGGCTAAACCCATGTGGTGACCCATGGATACTCCATGGAGGTTAAAACCCATGGAGCCTAAGGAATGTGGAAAGCCATGCACATTAGGGTTTGCATGGTGTAACCCTAGTTGTGCCACACTATATAAGAAGTCCCTTGGTTGGTGAAATGGGGACTAGTGATCTTTGGAAGAGTGATAGAGTCGATTTCTAGAGCAAGCCTTTCTCTCTCAAGTTATCCTTTATCCTAGGTGTGATGTGATTCCATTTGAGGCATTCACACTATTGGTGCTAAGTTCTTAAAGGCCAAATACATCAAGGATAGCAAGCAACAACAAAAGGTATGTCATCTAACTAGAATCTTGTAGTATAGATACTCCATTGTATGCTAGTTAGGATGATGCTTTGGAAAATTGAAAGTTTTCATGTATATTAGAGAAAACATAGATCCAAATCATCTAGGGTTGCATGTACACCATAGGAGTGTTAGAATTCTCAAAACCCATCAGTGGTATCAGAGACTAGGGTTGTTTTCCATTATACTTGATGCTACTTACTTTCAAATGCTAAAAAATTCGATTTTCTGCCTCCTGGACAGTGGAGTCGCCGAGTCCACTGGGGAACTCGTCGAGTCCCCTCACAATACTAACCAACTCGCCGAGTCAGTTCATGTACTCGACGAGTTGGTGCTCCAGAGTGCAGATTTTCGAGTTTTAAGGATGGAATTGGACTAGGATCATTACCCTAAACTGTTCTTATAAACTTGTTTTTGATGTGGTAATGATCATGCTTATCCAATTTAAAAGATAGTTGTCAAAGTTTCATTTTTTGTATTAGTTTATATGGTTAGGCTAATTAGATGAAATTTGTTTGATATGAATTGTCTTGTTCTTATGAGTTTAATTTTAGATCATAGACAAATTGTTTGATTTTGTAAGTTACAATAGTTGATCTAAATGTTTTTTGATGAAATCCATAACTTGTCCTCAAGTTATGGAAAGTGAAGAGTCTCATTTTAAATGTCATCATAAAATGGTTTTAAGTCTTCAATAACCTGTCCTCAAGTTATGGAACTTGAAGAGTCCTTTTCATAAATGTTTTTATGAGCTCCATAATTTGTCCTCAAGTTATGGATTTCCAAGAGTCTTTTCATTAAAACCTATATTAAACTCATAAGTTATGAAAACCAAAAGTTTTTGAATAGTTCAAAACTTGCCCTCAAGTTTTGGAATTTGTAAATGCAAAGTCTTACCTTGAAACATTTAGTTCCAAACCCTAGAATTTTAAAAGTTTAAAATTCAACCCTTATACTATTATAATATTATAAGTTTAATATTTATATATATGTATAAGAGTAAAGTCAGTCTTACCGTTAGTAGGCCTCATTCACGAAGTCGGTCTATAAGGGGGGTATAAGGTTACTGCCTATAAAATGGCAGTTTAATGGGTGTCCACTCTCACCCGCCGCTTCCTTGACTGGTGGAGGGTCGTTAGCCGAACGGGTTTGACATGACATTAATCTTCATTAAAAGTATAATGATAAATATAAAGTAACTAAAATTTTATTAAATTCTCAATATTAGTTACTTTAGGAAAATGTGAATTTGGTGCTATTCCATGAAATTGCACTTAGCACCTTGTTAAGTCGTTAGTGGAGCGTATGTGGTTAACCGACACACTAACCTAGACTGACAGTGCGTGGCAAAGGGTAGCTTGATGTTAATCATAGATCAATGGAGTGTGTGTGGTTAACCGACACATTGATTAGGTGGCTGTAACATTGGGTGTACCAAGCTAATTTGCATGGTTATTCACACCTTGTTTGTGATCCTCGACATCCCGGTCACAAACTTGAAGGGTACAATCAAGATTTAAATATGCCATTGAAAAGTTCAATGAATCTCAAAGGATCTAGGAATTTCAATCCATTTAAAACCTAATGTTCAATTTCGTTTTTCATTGTGGAAATTGGTAAATCGTCATTTACCTACCTTCAAATATTTTGCAATTTGGATTACGACATCCCTCTTCCGAATTATAAAGTATTGTGTTGGGTCCTAGCCTTAGTATTTCATTTGGGTGTATATTAAGGACTTAAATAAACTAACCTTGAATTTCTCCCATGATGTCTAGTTCAGACAACTATGGTCTTCCCAAATCTGTTAGAACAAACTTTCCTCCTGAAGATGATGTTCCACGATTGGATCGTGGAAGTGGAAATCATACTTCACTTCCTCCGCCTCCTCCAAGAATTCTCCCTAACCCACAAGTTTAAGGTCACTCAAACCCTATTGGCAAGCAAACACAAAGATGGAAGTCTGTATGTGCTAACATCTTGGAGATGAAGTTACATATTGACATGATGGGAGAGTTGGGTGTCGTTGTTTCAAGGAAGTTGGTTGTTGACTTGGTTCTTCAATCACTTTCTAAGTCATATAGCGGGTTCTTTAAGGACTACTATATAGGAGATCACGACATGAACCTTATTGATCTAACATATTTTCTTGTTGCTGCTGAATCAGAAATGATTTGGCGCATTGGAAAAGCAAAGTTGATTGGAAGATCTACTTCCCAAACTTCCATGGACATTGACAATGGAAACATTGGAAGTCCAGAAAAGTCTTTTCTTCCCAATGGAAAGGGATCGGCCATAGTCAACTCGGTTGACCAAATGGTAAAGAGAAAGGCTAAGTCTGATATTTTCCCGTGTACCATTCCAAAAGAATCTGTTTGCTTTTATTGTCAAAAGAAGGGGCATTGGTTGCGAAGCTGCCATATTTACCTGAAGGATCATAAGGATGGTAAAGTCAGAGTGTATGACTTTGCTTCAGGTAAGTCCACTATCTATT